TCTATCTATCTCATGGGAAAGGCTGGAGGGCTCCTTCCAGGGTGGTGTAAAATCCTTTTAAGGGTGGTTTCCTCTTAGGGCAGGGCTTCTTGTCCCTGCCCACCTGCCTTCCAACTATCCTTCATCACCAGTAATTATTTATTGAGCATTTAATAATATGCTAAGCACTGCAAATGCCATGGTCAACAGGAGAAACAATCTACACTTTAATAGAGCCCGTATTCTATTGGGGAAGACTCAGACAACCACTCAATGACCATGTTGATCTGTATAACAAACAGGAAATTGTAGGATATTGTGACACAGACTAACAGAAGGTGCTAATTGGGCAGGGGTGGGCATGAGTGGAGGTCAGGGAAGGTTTCTATAAGGTGTGTCTAAATTGAAGCCTGAAGGAAGGAGAAGTAGAGGGCCCAAGCAGAGACAATCGTATGCTTCATTTTATATGCTCATGTAATTTTTATTACATTTCTTCACACACATCAGAAACAATATTGAGATAATGATAAGCTGTTTTGTTTTGGGAGGCAAATTATGCTTGGAGACTGAGTTTGTCTTTGCCAGCAATTAACACAGGTTTGCTGTGGGAATCTCACAAACCCAGAGCATACAGGATAAGGTCTCTTAATAAACTAGTAAAGAAATAACATACCCCAAACCAGTGACAGATCAATCACATAATTCCAGGCAACAGGAAGAGAAAGGAATAAAGTCCAAATGTAGTTGATGTGTGCTTTTATATGAGTTGGTACTCAGGCTACCGGACTGCCTTTGACACTGTTGGGAAAAGAGTTGCCTTTACCAGGTAGGAGCTAATTGCCCCAAGGTCTTCGGAGAGCTATTCAGGTCAGCTACCCGTTGCCTTGCCAGAACCAAACATTCTTGGGCAGTCCTCACAAACTCTTGGTATTTATAGTCAAAATGTCCCCTGGCCATTGTTGCTTCTTTGTGTGCTTTTATTGATAAGCACCCCCTCCTCCTTGGGGCCCAGAGTTCCTAAAACCTTTGGAAATTCCTGAGTGATGAGAGTTTTTAAAGCTGTCTCTTGTTATGTTAATTAGGTGATTTTTGGGGGACCACACCTAAGGAGGGGGCTAGTTGTCAGGAAAACCAAACATGCTATTAGAAGGTTGGAACTTTCACCAACAGAAAAAAGACAGTCTCTTCAACAAATGGTGTTGGGAAAATTGGACAGCCACTTGCAGAAGAATGAAACTGGACCAATTTTTTTACACCATACAGAAAAATAAACTCAAAACGGATGAAAGACCATGTGAGGGGCGCCTGGGTGTCTCAGTCGGTTAAGCGTCTGCCTTCAGCTCAGGTCATGATCCTGGGGTCCTGGGATCGAGTCCCCCCGCATCAGGCTCCCAGCTCAGGGGGGAGTCTGCCTCTCCCTCTCCATCTAACTTTCCCCCAGCCCATGCTCTCTCTCCCTCTCTCTCACATGCTTTCTCTCTCAAATAAATAAATGAATGAATGAATAAATAAATAAATAAAATCTTAAAAAAAAAAAAAAAGACCTAAATGTGTGACAGGAATCCATCAAAATCCTTGAGGAGAACCCAGGCAGCAACCTCTGCGACCTCGGCTGTAGCAACTTCTTGCTAGACACGTCTCCAAAGGCAAGAGAAACAAGAGCAAAAATGAACTATTGTGACTTCATCAAGATAAAAAACTTTTGCACAGCAAAGGAAACGGTTGACAAAACCAACGGACAGCCCACAGAATGGGAGAAGATATTTGCAAATGTCTTATCAGATAAAGGGCTAGTATCCAAAATCTATAAAGAACTTATCAAACTCAACACCCAAGGAACAAATAATCTAATCAAGAAATGGGCAGAAGACATGAACAGACATTTTTGCAAAGCAGACATCCAAATGGCCAACAGATACATGAAAAAATGCTCAACATCACTGAGCATCAGGGAAATACAAATCAAAATCTCAATGAGATACCACCTCACACCAGTCAGAATGGCTAAAATTAACAAGTCAGGAAATGACAGATGTTGGTGGGGATGCGGAGAAAGGGGAACCCTCCTACACTGTTGGTGGGAATGCAGGCTGGTGCAGCCACTCCGGAAACCAGTATGGAGGTTCCTCAAGAAGTTGAAAATAGAGCTACCCCATGACCCAGCAATTGCACGACTAGGTATTTACCCAAAAGATACAAATGTAGTGATCCCAAGGGGCACATGCACTCCAGTGTTTATAGCAGCAATGTCCACAATAGCCAAACCCTATGGAAAGAGCCTAGATGTCCATCAACAGATGAATGGATAAAGAAGATGTGGTATATATATATATATATATATATATATATACACACACAATGGAATATTATGCAGCCATCAAAGAAATAAAATCCTACTATTTGCAATTATATGGGTGGAACTAGAAGGTATTATGCTAGGCGAAATAAGTCAATCAGAGAAAGCCAATTATATGATTTCACTCATATGTGGAATTTAAGAAACCAAACAGAGGATCATAGGGGAAGGGAGGGAAAAATAAAATAAGATCAAATCAGAGAAGGACAAAAACCGTAAGAAACTTGACTATAGGAAAAATATTGAGGGTTGCGGAGGGGAGGGCAGTGGGGGGGATGGGGTAAATGGGTGATGGGCATTAAGCAGGGCACTTGAAGTAATGACCACTGGGTATTATATACAACTGGTATGAATCACTGCACTCTACTTCTGAAACTAATAAGACACTATATGTTAATTAACTGAATTTAAATAAAATAAAATAAAATTTTTTAAAAACACAGAAAGTTGGAACTTTTGGTGCCACCCTGTTGGTCTGAGGGAGATGGGGCTTGGAGATTGAATCAATGACCAATGGCCAATGATTTAATCAACTGTGTCTATGTAATGAATGTAAAACCCTGAAAAGACGGGGTTTAGAGAGGTTCTGGGTTGGTGAGCACATGGAGATTCAGGGAGAGTGGCAAGCTTGGAAAACTTCTTTGGGAGAGGCAATGCAGCCAAGATAGCCCCTTGAAGTACAGTTTTTTGGGAAGTCCCAGAAAAACCAGACATGAGATCGGAGAGCTGACCCAGGCAAGACCCTTCCCCTCCTCCACTTAAGAATTATGGGATGCAGTTGGCATGGAAGTGATCCCTGAAGGCATTCATATACTACATAATGGTATGTGATACATTGATGTTGCAAGTATTGAGTTTCAGGAGTGGACATCTTATTTTGTAATCTGTAACAGTAAAGCGAGCGGAGAGGGAGTGAAGGCAGGTTTGCACTGGGCAGGGCCGGGCACCAGAAGACCAGCAGCAACTCAGAGACATTGTCGCTTCCCCGCTGACTCACGCGGGTGGCAGGGCGCGGCAGCTGGGCCCTCAGTTCCTGAGATCCTGCCAGGTCTCCTCCTTCAGCCTTTGTGACCTCAGGGCCAGGTGCGGTGTGTTTACCCCAGACAAAGGTACCTACTGCTCCTGGAAGTCATCCTTACATGGACACGGGAGGCTTGGAGGCAAGGAGATACCAATGTGGGTTGCCCTGGGGTCCGTGGGCTCCAGTCTGTCCTTGCTTTCTCCTACTTTCCATCGCAACTACCTGCCCTGCAGACTGCAGGCCCAGCACCAGACGCAGAAGCAATAGCCTTACACAGACCATTTAATGAGCTCCAGCGATGACTCTTTCAAGGTCTAATTCTTTAAAACAAATGCCTCACTCTGTATCACTCCTGGTGGTTCTACTTCTCTGACTGAACTCCGACTGACATAGGGAGTTAAGCATATAGACTTCAAGGTCTCACAACCAGATGGAACCACTTCCAGCTGTGTGACCTTAGGCAACTTACTCAACCTCTCTGAGCCTCCCTGTTCTCATCTGTTAAATGGGAACACTAATCCTTTCCTTCTAGAATTGTTGTTCATTTCATTATAAATGAAAATCACTTAACAGTGCCTAGTCTTCAACAGCATCCTACACTTTTCTTGTTGTCAGGTTTGGGGAATATAACGGAGAAGAAGACTAGCAAGTCCCTTTTCTGATCAGGCTGGGGGTCGAGTCAGGGATGCAGGCAAGTTAGCAAGAATGTAGTAAGTATACTGTGGTAAGTATTTCCATAAGGGGAAGAGAGAATAGTAAGGGAGGACTGGCTTAGTTTGGGTGGCGAGTGGGAGGCAGGATGGCTTATGTCAAGGAAGGATTCCCAGAGGAAGTAGCATTTAGACTGAGACCCAAGGACAAGTAGAAGTCCTTAAGCATTCTGAGAAGAGGGCACTGCACGCGCAGACCTGAGAGATAACTGAGAGCCCGTGACTGCCATCATTGTTAGAGTTGGTTATATACGCCCAGTGCTGGCCCTGCCAGCCCCCGCTGCTGGCGGGTCTTGAGTCCAGAGCAGGGAAAAGGGGTGGGCCCTGGGAAGTGGGTAGAACCCAGAACTGCAGAGCCTTCCTGGGAGCCAGGAGGCCTAGTCAGAAGCCAACTGGCCTGGCTGTGAGGCGCCTCTAGACTGAGAGAGGAAATAGAAAGCACTTTTAGGGTTGGGTTCTGGCAAGCAACTGAGACTTTTTTTATAGGAAGAGGAAAAGGAAGAAGAGCAGAGAAAAAGGAGCCTGACACCATGTGTTATATAATGTGCCAGTGAAGGCCACGGGGAGGGCCATGTGAGGAGAGAGAGGAAACTGGAGTCCTGTGAGGGGTATTTGCTGAATTGGAACTTGGCAGGGCCTCTCCTTGACCTGTGTGCCCCCCATTGTTACAGCATGGGAGGTTACTTGGTGGGGAGGGGGCAGAAGGCCTCTATACACAAGTGATAAAGAGGGTGTATCTTCTTCAAGTGTAAGTCTTACTTAAAGATTATTTTGGGGGAAAAGGCCTATCTTATTTTAAAAATGTACCCAACATTATATACATATTATGGAACAGAATGCAAATATCTTTTTTTTTCTTCTTTTAGGATAAAATATAAGCCTTCAAAGGAATATAACAGTTGAGAACTGTTTCCTGCTCTTCCCTTAGATCCCGGTTAGTGAATCCAAGTTCCCTCTGTTCTGACATTGGGTGTCCTGGGAAGAGAAAGAACTTGACCAGAAGCCAGTCAACAAGCACCAGGGTCAGACCCAGGTGAGAGTCAGGCCTGAGCTTGCTTTTCCCTGCAGGCTAGTTCTTACCAGCTCCCGCCTCTGGGACAGGCTACACAATGTGTAGGTCCCAGTGCAAAATGAAGAAGTGGGGTCCCTTGTTCAAAGACCGGTAAGAATTTCAAGATGGTGAAGCCAAGAGCCCTGAGTAACGGTGCAGGTCCCATACTCATGAAGCTGGTTCCACTTCTCTCCCCTCTACCAAACACACACCTGGGACATTTCTGAGACACCAGCTGAAGAGAGGGAAAGAGAGAATGAGAGAGAGAGAGGGGTACTTTCCTCCAGTTTGTCCTATTTATAGCCTTTCACACCTCCTGGGGTCTTCGACTTTCCTGAAATGGTTGAGAAGAGGGTGGACAGGGCAAGATTCCCCAGAGGTTCCGTGTTGTGTTAGTCCTGCAGGTGTCCTCGATGCCCGCCCGTGTTTCCCCATGAAAGTCAGTAGGAAGGCAAACCGTTTGTGCCTACCCGCGCACACCTCCTCTGTGCTTACAGATAGATGGGTCGGGAGAACATGAGGCGTGAGCTCTGCTACCTGTATTCCATCATGGTCTAGTTGCACGATAGCTGAAGTTGGAGGGCTGAGCATCTTCATCCAAAACCGCCATTTCTCAAGAAGATAAAGTCAGTCGGGGGAGGTAAGTACTAGTTCATAGAAAACAAGCTTCCTCTGCAAGTTGTCACGGTGAGTCCCAGCCCAGGACACTGACACACATGGCTGCTACAGAATATTTGGCTCAATGTTAAACGGTCTCCTTATGTGGTCAAAAATCTTACATTTCTCACCCCCCCCTTTTTAAAGTTTTATTTAAGTCATTTCTACACCCAACATGGGGCTCAAACTCATGACTCCAAGATCAAGAGTCACTTGCTCTTCTGACTGAGCCAGCCAGGCGCCCCCTTCCAGGCCTATTTCAGGAGTCACAGTCTTTGCAAAATTTTTTTCTGACATTCCTAGTCCTATATCCCTTTGTTTATGGTTTTCCGACTTATTTTGTCGTGGATTTTAAGCCCTTTGCTCGATAACTATTTCAATAAATAGTTATTGAGCAACTACTATGCACCAGATACACTTATCTTTCTGTATTTTAAATTCACTCATTTATTCATTTATTGTCTCAAGTGCCACTACGCCTGAACATTTGTGTCCCCCCCAAAATTCAAACGTTGAAAACCCAAGTCTAAGGTGGGGTCTTTGGGAGGGACTTGAGGGTCATGAGGGTGCAGCTCTCATGAATGAAGTTAATGGTCTTATAAAAGAGACCCCAGAATGCTCCACAGCCCCTTCCACCATATGCAGGTACAGCAAGAAGATGGCTGTCTCTGAACCGGGAAGCTCTTGCCAAACACCAAATCTGCCGACACCACATCTTCAACTTCTCATTCTCCAGAACTGTGAGAAATTTCTGTTTCTAAGTGACCCAGTATTTGGTATTTTGTTATCACAGCTGGAACGGACGAGGACAAGCGCCTTCTATGTCTAGGTGTTGGTTTACAATGGTGATCCCGAGCGACTCAGTCCCTGCCCCTGTTGTGGTGACAGCCTGGTGATAGGAGAGTTCTTGCTAGCTTTTTGGAAGGCAGGAACTGCTTATGACTCATCTTGTGTCTCCTTCAGCAGTAATCTCAGCCCCTTCCCCTTACCATCTGCATCATCCACCAAAACAGTTGTTGCACTCAATGGAATAGATGCTATTTCAGTAGCACATTGTGACAAGTGAAAAAAATCCATCACAACTCTAGACAAATATTTCACTAGTTTGGGGATTAGTTATAATGTGAATGCCTTAACCACAGAAGTCAATACCATGTGTTTATGGTAGCTTTGTTAGTATTGCCACACAGAAACTCATCAGGCATAAGTTGTCCCCAGTCAGGTTTTCCACTTTTGTTAGCCCGTTTACAATTGCTTTTATTAGTTATTCCTTCATGATGTCTTGGAGAGCTACCCCATAAAATTATTAATGCTGGCTATTTGGCAGTTCTTTCAGGACATCGCAAGATTTATGAGCTATGTAGGTGGCAACGAAAACTTCATAGCATTTTTTTGTTGCATATTTTCTGTGTGCCACAGAGTTCAGGAAAAAAAAAACAGAACAACCATTAAGAACATTATATGCTCCTGGACCAGCACAGCTTGGTGGGGTGTTGCCTAAGCTTGAGGAGTATGCATCTATCTTTCTTCAGTCCCCTCACTCTGTTCCTATCACCCTGAAACTGCCCTGTCAAGATTGCCAAAGACCCCCAGTGGCCACTTCTCAATGGCTCCTTTGCTGACTTCTGTGCTTATCCTCTAAGCGGCGGTGTTCTTGACTCCTGTCTTCTCCATTTACCCTGTCTTTAGATAATCTCATCTAACCCCATGGCTTAGACTTCCATCTATATGCCAATGACTCCCCAATTTAAATTTTTATCCCTGACCTCTCCTCCGTGCTCCAGACTTACAAATCTAAATGCTCACGTGACAATTCTACTTGGTTGTCTAATAGGCATCCCACACTCAATATTTTTTGAAGATGTGAGTCTTGATTCCCCCCCTACAACCTGTTCCACCAAACTACCCCTCCCCAGCTTTTCCATCTCAGAAAATGACATTACAATCCATTCAGTTACTCGAACTCAAACCCAGGAATCACCCATGACTCCCCTCTTTCCTTTCCTCACCGCCATATGCAATATATCAGCAAATTCTGTTGACTCTTTCTCCAAGTATATCCTGACTTTGCTGCTGACACCTCTACGGGTACCATCCTGACCCGAGCCACCATCATCTCTGTCCTAATTGCCCTCCCTGCTCCCTCTCTGGCATCTATAGTCAAGTCACAACCCAAATGCCAGAAGGTTTTGTTTTAAAACATAAGCAGAATACGTCATTCCCCTGCTTGAAACACTCCAGTGGCTTCTAGTCACACTTAGAATCAAACCCAAAGACTCCTCCTGGCCTCTAAGACTCCACATAAACTGGCCCTTGTCTACCTCTCCCCCTTCACTTCCCTTGGTAGCCCTACATTCTAGCACATACCACAATACCCTGGAACACACAGAGCCACCTCTCACCTTAGGGCCTTTGCATTAGCTCTTCCCACATGTCAGACATGTTCTTTTTCTAGACCACCCCATGTCATCCTTCTTATCATTCAGGTCTCAACTTCAATGTCATCTCCTCAGACAGGCCATCTTTGACCACTCAGCTGTAGCCCCCAGCCTATGCCCCCGTGGTCACTTCTCTTCACAGCACCATGTCTTATTTTCATCATAGTGGTTATCATTACCAAACATTTCCTTATTATTTGTTCATAGATTTATGTGGGGAACATGCCGAGAATGTAAGTTCCATGAGAACATGGACCTGATCACCTTGTTCAGTGTTGTATGCCCTGGCACAGGCTAAGTCCTTAGTACATGTTTGATGATTGAGTAAAGAAATGATTAAGTGTCTTTTACAAAAAAACAGCCCTGTCCATAGGCTGTTATCTAAATTATGAGACTCAGAGGTATCTCAAACTCCAAGTTGCCTAGCCATAATTTCCACTTTCATAGTCACTCCATTGCCACTGTCCTGAAATATTGTTATTGTAAAAACAAAAACAAAAATAAAACCCCCAAACAGACAGGAGAATAGGATGCTACCTTGTTAACACACTAATTCATCAAAACATGAGACTGAGATAGAAATTAGATTATTTTCATTCTGGAAATCAGAAAAAGTGGGACCACGAACAAGTAAAGTATAATGGAAGTGTTCAAGAGAGAAAATGAAAAGTTGGCTACCTGGTGGTGCTGCCCAATCAGGACAGATAAGGGTGAAAAATTAGCTGATGGGAGGAGCTTGATCCCTGAGAGGCCGTAATTGGAGAGAGGGTAAAGCCAGGGTTTGCTGAGTACACTTTACGAGCCAGCATTAGTAGGTGACTTAAGGATAGGAGGAAGTAAAACACAGACTTTGGACGTCAGTGCCTTTTGAGAAAGCTGACTTACAGTGATTTCTGATGAGGAAGGATAATCATGTTTAATAAATAGGCACAAACATTTCAGTTCTGTCATATCCCCAGTCTTCTCCTAATATCAGCTTATATCTCTACAAGCAAAAATCAGTTAGCTTAGGGGTTTATAAAATTCACTAAAACACAAATGTAAAAGTAAATGTTACTTTGCTGATTTGGAATGGATTCTGGCAAGAATTCCCAGATAAACATACAAATACATTCTTTTTTTTTAATAAAGATTTTATTTATTTATTTGACAGAGAGACACAGCGAGAGAGGAAACACAAGCAGGGGGAGTGGGAGAGGGAGAAGCAGGCTTCCCGCCGAGCAGGGAGCCCGATGAGGGGCTCGATCCCAGGACCCCGGGATCGTGACCTGAGCTGAAGGCAGACGCTTAACGACTGAGCCACCCAGGCGCCCCCCTACAAATACATTCTTTGTTCGTTTCTATGAACAGCCTTTTTATGGTTTTTGAGGCCTAGTCTAAATCAGTTACCATAAGAATTAGTTTTTCTGATAGGTGTTGGCCTTGTAAAACTGGAAAAAAAGGAATCATATTTTCTATAACATATGAATGCACAAGTGATTCATTCTTTGGCTTAGGATGGAAACTTTTTTTTTGGCATTCTTGATTCATCTTTCTGCATTAGCTTCACAGATTTTTCTCAATAAGATGTAGACACTGGATAGACTTCATTCACAAGGAAACACCAAGATAAATGGAGTTACTGATATATAGCAATTTGAAACTTGTAAATATTTATGAGAAAATTATATCTTTGTGTGAATTTCTGTTTGAAACTTGTATGTAACTATTATGTGCTCTCTTTAAATTGTGGATTCTAGTATTAGTATTGCCATGCTCTATGGCAAAATCACTATGAAAATTTTGTATAAAATAGCTACATTGAATCTTGAATAAAAGGGATAACGCGGCTTCTTTAGTCATATAACCCTTCTCCCAACTGAGCCTAGAGCCTCACATTTTGTAATCAGTAACCCAAGTTCTAGACCAGCTAGATAATTTCTGGGGACCAGTGCAATATGAAAATGTGGGGCCCTGGGCGCCTGCGTGGCACAGTCAGTTAAGCATCAGCTTTCGGCTCAGGTCATGATCCCAGGGTCCTGGGATTGAGCCCCGCATCGGGCTCCCTGCTCAGTGGGGAGTCTGCTTCTGCCTCTCCCTCTGCCCCTCCCCCTGCTCGTACTCTCTCTCTGTGTGCTCTCTCTCTCTCTCAAATAAATAAATAAACAAATAAAATGTGGGGCCCCTTGTTAAAAAATTATTAAGAATCTAAAAAAAATGCAAGATGGCAATCCAGCAATCACACTACTGGGTATTTACTGAAAGAATACAAAAATCAAAGGGATACATGCACGCCTGTTTATAGCAGCATTATTTACGACAGCCAAGATTTGGAAGCAGCCCAACTGTCCATTGATTGCTGATTGGATAAAGAAGTTGTGATATATATAATGGAATATTACTCAGCCATAAAAAGAATGAAATCATGCCATTTGCAATGACATGGCTGGAGCCAGAGAATATAATGCTAGGTGAAATGAGTCAGAATAAGACAAATACCTATGATTTTACTCTTATGTGGAATTTAGGAAACAAAACAGATGAGCAAAAGGAAAGAGAGAGAGAGAGAGAGAGAAACCAAGAAATAGACTCTTAACTATAGAGAACAGACTAATGATACCAGAGGGGAGGTGGGGGGGATGGGTGAAATAGGTGGTGGGGTTGAAGGAGTGCACTTGCTGTGATGAGCACCAGGTGTCATATGGAATTGTTGAATCACTACATTGCATACCTGAAATGAATATAGCACTGTGTGTTAACTACCTGGAATTAAAATTAAAACTTAAAACACAAAAAGAATTTCAAGATGGCAACAGCAGAGCATTAGGCCCAGCATGGGGCTTTCTAAGTATGGACCCCTCAGTGACCACACAGGTCTTGAGCCCAGGAGGCTCTGAACCTACCTTTCCCTGTGTGCAGCGCAGGTAGGAAGAATAACACACTTTTGGGTAAGCCTGCTATAACCTTTCACAACTGAGGGAGGGGAATCAAGTTGTTTATGTAATTGTGATGTTCAAGGAAGAGAAAATAGAATTTTAAAACAGTTTGCTAGTGTAAGGGTTTCTCCTGAAAAGTCTTCTAATTTAAACTTAGAACTTTAGTAAGAGCTTCAAAATCACTTTAGAGTATTACTCCCAAATATTTACTTGTTCATGAAAATATTTTAATGCTTCCCCTCTAGTCTGGTGGTTCCCAGACCTGGCTGATCATCATAAATACTTTGGGACCATTTAAAAAACACAGATTTCGGGGTGCCTGGGTGGCTCAGTTGGTTAAGCAACTGCCTTCAGCTCGGGTCATGGTCCTGGAGTCCCTGGATCGAGTCCCGCATCGGGCTCCCTGCTCCGCGGGGAGCCTGCTTCTCCCTCTGACCCTCCCCCCTCTCATGTGCTCTCTCTCCGTCTCTCATCATTGCTCTCTCAAATAAATAAATAAATAGTCTTTAAAAAAAAAATAAAAAACACAGATTTTTCTAGGCCCAAGGTTGTGGACCTAGGTTGCCAGTGAGAAAGTATATAGAAAATACAGAGAAAATCAATCAATCTATCCTTTTTTGGCCTACTTATCTTGACCTAAGTAGAGGCTCTGCAACTTAGTACTGGGAACGATCATCCTTAGCAAAAATTAGGAGAGTTTGTTAATTTCAACTTACTGGATTGATCCAGCCTTTATCAAATAGAATGCTGTGGCACAGTGGTCAGGAGAACTGGGGTACAAATTGTGAGGAGGACAGGATGATTTATGAGAAAAATAATGCAAATATAGTCTTTTAAAAATTTGTATTCTATGTTGTGATTTTAAAAACAACTATAAGCTAGAACGCCATCATAAGTACACTTAAATTGCAAACCTTTAAAGTGTTAGATTATTTTCACTATTGCATCTCATGGTCTTTTTTATAGGTTTTCAAGATACTTTTAGTTGTGGTAAAATACGTATAACATAAAATTTACCATCATAACCATATTTAAGTCTACAGTTCAGTAGTGTCAAGTATATTCACACTGCGGTGCAACTAATCTCCAGAAGTTTTTCATCTTGCAAAATGGAAAGTCTTTACCCATTAAAAATATCTCATTTCCCCCCATTCTAACCCTTGGCAACCTTCATTCTACTTTCTGTCTCAGTGAATTTGATTACCCTAGGTACCTTATATGAGTGGAATCATAGAGTATTTGTGTATTTGTCTTTCTGTGACTGGCTTATTTAACCTAGTACAGTGCCCTCAATGTTCATCCATGTCATAGCATGTGTCCGAATTGCCTTTCTTTTTCAAGGCTGAATAATATTCCATCCTACGTACATGCTACATTTTATTTATCCATTCATCCATTGATGGATACTTGGGTAGCTAGTCTTCGCTTTATACTCCCAAAAGACCTTACCAAGACATTGCTTCAAAACAAGCACAGTGTTCTCCCCAAAAAGAATTCTACTGAATAACATTTCTCCATTGTTACCAATAGCAAACTTGTGGTTTGGCTGCTATGTTAAAAAAAGCAAGTCAAGCCATCATTAGGTAAAGTAGTGCTACTGTTGGAGAAAGGTAACATCATCTGAGAGTTTCAGGGTCTCCATTGATAAATGCCGTCTAAATGGTGATCTTGACTTGTCTTTGCAGCTCATTTGCACGTGGTAGCAGCAGAATTAATAGAAGGTTTAGCAAAGAACGACTTGATTTTGAAGACCGTTTTCCTTGCCAATGTGACTTCATGGAAAAATGAAGTTCATCAAGTTCATGTAAACTCAGCTGGAACATTTATATGCATGTGGTAGAGTTAAGGAAATCTATGAACTTTCCATAAACATCCTGAATGCGCTGTGTTAGGGAGCTCCTGGCCTTCCAGTTAGTTCCCTTGCTTCCTTTTCCTCCCACCTCATCCTCTTTGATCAGAAATATATGTGGCTTCAGGCCTGTATGAGGCTTCTGCTTGCTTTGTGTAAAGGAAATAAATAAGAAGAGAAGGTGTGACTCATTGGGGGGTAGAACAAGGGAGAATGAGCGAGAAAGTGTCAGGTGACAGATCCACAAGAAGCGTGTTAAAGACTTAAGGTAAGTGAACAGACACATCTTAATGTTTGCATTGATAAATGGGACCAGAGAGAGACTGTTGAAGAAAACTGGCAGAAGTTTAAAGCATGAAATGGAAAGAAAGAAGATGGAGAATCAGCTTTTAGCACCTATTTCTTGAGCTGAGCCAATTTGGACAGAGACCCTGCTCCCACAAGTCTACAAACCAATGTGGAAAAGTTGATAACAACAAAACTAAAAACATTAAATGCAGAAATTCCCGGACCTCTGTCCGCACTCAGCTCCCAGAATGGGACAGTTTTCCAGACCTTACCCTCCAGGTAGGAGATTGTAAGGCTCTTCTTACAGTCCAAAGGGAAATACTTAAAAATACTAATATGGGGAGTAGAGGATGGGGAGGAAAGTGTCAGCAAATAATCCACCCATATTACCCTGGACCTAGAGTGAAGATCAAAATTACTAAGCCTCTTTCTTGAACTTCCAAGCAGTTTTTAGTCTCGCATTCTTTGTTGGGGCTGTTAATAAGCAAAATAGACAAAAGTCCTGTTCTCTATGAGCTAATTACATTCTAATGAGGGAGCAGAAGATAAATGGGTAAAATATTATATAGTATTTTAGAGAGCGATGAATGCTTTGGATAAAACGGGTGGCGGTGGTTATGAGAAGCCATTTCGGGAGGGTATTGCCATAGTAGGTGACGTTTGGGTTGGGAGGGAAATCACACACATCTACTCAGCCTGCCATCTTCCCGCAAAAGCTCTGCATCTGAACCCCGTTCATTTTCTGAAACAGACTTGCTTGCGCCGGCCTGCAGCCCTTCCTGTGTTCGGTTCCCTTGATCGGGGGCACTGGACCCTCATTCCACCTGATGCTCCACTTCTGCCAGAATGAGATTTGGGGTTGTGCTTAAAATTAACTGGGTTAGCCTCACCTATTTATTTTTATTTGCATAATCAATGCAAGGAGGAAAAAGCTTCAGGTATTTTCCTTATGCCAAGAAAACCAACAGCCTTTTTATACTGGTTGAGTTCATTCTATCAGCCTCCGCGAGGTCTTTACTGGTTCATTATCACAAGGCTGGCGAACTAGTTTAACCTTGGATGACAAACAGTTTACTACATCAAGTGAAGACACAGATTTCTCGGCAGCAGCAGTCGAACATGTAGAATGCCGTTCTGCAGGACAAACATTCAGAGTCTCCAGGTAATGAATCAACAGCTCACCTATAAAAACACACCTCTGAGTGTTCCAGGAGCACTCTTTGCCCTTGTTAGTAAACAAGGAGAAACCTAGCTGTATGATCACGAGATAAAGAATCATTATAGATCTACGTTTACTGGGAACAGGTGTGTAAACATTCTCTAACCTTCTTCAGGATGTTTTCAAACAGAGGATAGTAACTAACCTGGTGCTATGGGAAGTTAAAAGCACCTTCTGTCACAACATGAAGTTTCTCGTTTAGCACCACTGAAACGTCGATGGTCTCAGCTATGATTTTAAATGAGGGTGAATCCAAAAATTTGGAAGTTAGGGTCATTTTATTTCATGCTTTATACCTCAGCTTGCTCATCATTCCTCCAGGAAGCCTTCCCTGATCCCCTAAGAAGGGAATTGCCACCTGTACTCCCCCATCACATACTTATCACACTGTGATTGTCTTTGCCTATTTCCCAATTTTGAATGCCCCAGTAGACTGGACACTTCCGAGAGCAGAAACTAAGTTTATCTTTTTCTCAGTTCAATCCCCAGGGCCCAATACAAAGGCCAGCCTCTGCAGGCACAGAATAAACATTTGTTCAGCAAATTATTAAAAATATAAATGAACAAAAAGCTCAAAATCACGATAGGGCATTAAGTAGTTCATATACCTTAAATCTCAGCAATTGTTCACTATTATTTATTAAGATGTTCATTTGAATTTAAAATAACATTGAAAATGCTCGATTAAAAAGTTAAATGTTGAGTTCTGTTCCAACGTCGCCTCCTCAGTGATGCCTTCTCACAACATCCTGAGACTGTACCTGCATCACTTGCCCTCTCTTAACCCTCCTGCTTTTCATGGTGCTTAGAGAACGACCTGACGCTGTACATCGTCTGTTTTCCTATTCTAGGGGATCTCTGCGTGAACAGAGGTCTCTGTTTACTACCACTGTATCCTCAGTGCCTAGAACAATGCCTAGCATATGGTAGCAGTAAATGAATAATCCTCTTTAAAACAAATATAAGTCATTAAAGACTAATGTTAGTGAAGAATAATTTTTGGGGTAAGGAGGGAGTTAATGTTTTTTTTTTTTTTAAATGAGAAGAACACTGGATATTCTCTGAAGTCCTGTGCTTTTAAACCCATTTGACAATAGCCCATAGCAGGGATGCATTTGACATAGTGACTTGGCATACCACATGAAGTAATATCTACCTTTATTACATGTGATGCTCTTTTTTTTTTCCTTTTCTTTTCCCTTCCATTCTATTTCATTAAAAAAAAAAAAAAAAAGCCAGTCCGACCCACTTAACTGATTTCCTAACCCACTCACAGTTTGGAAAACACTTATCTCTTACCTAATAAAATACCTGACTCATGAAAATAAAATGATTGCCTTCCCCATGGCACTACAGGTGTGTGTGTCCTGAAAGTTCCATGATAGCTCTGTTGATTGCTGAAAATAGACCAAGAATTAGTTCCAGCCCAGTAAGCTTATTTTATTTTTTTAGGTCTGTTGGACACGTTCTTTCCCCTAAATAATTTTATTTATTCGGTGTTGTTCAGAAGATAATTTTATGCTGCATAAATAAAATTTCTTAATATCACAACATATTAATTAAAATTTCTCGGGCATATTTAGAGGAGGGAGGAAAGGAAATTTAAAAGTCGTTATATTTGAAGTATCAAGCGTAGATGAAAAATGTCTTCAGCAATGAATGGTTACAGTAAATTTGTAGGGCATAGAGTTCCTTAGATATCTTAAAAGTTTTCTTTATTTTAAGGGCACCTGGGTGGCACAGTTGGTTAAGCATCGGCTCTTGGTTCAGGCTCAGGTTGTGATCTCAGGGTCTCGAGATCGAGCCTGCCCCTGCACTCAGCGTGGAGCCTGCTTGGGACTCCCTCTTTCTTTTTCTATCCCTCTGCCCCTCCCCCACCCCGCACTTCCTCTGTCTCTCCCAAGTAAATAAAGAAATCTTTAAAAAATTTTTTTTCTTCATTTTATAAGATAGGACCTTAGACAGAAGAAAATTTTAGACTGAGTTTTGATATGAGATTATATAATATATTCTTTAGGAGTGAAAAAAGTTGCGTCAAGGTAATCATCACTCAAAAGGAAATAGTCCAGGCAGAAAGAATTTGTAACAATACACAAAAGAGGAAATACAAATGACTAACATATGGAAAACTGTTTAACCTCACTGGAAATAGAAAGACATAAAACAATAGTGACAACTGTTAACCTATCAGAAGAGCAAATATTTTTTTTAATTTTGTATTTATTCGTTTTTAAAAATGAGATTTCTAATATGAGTCAGGATACAAGGAAATGGCCATTCATACATCGTAGGCAGAAATGCAAATTGCTCCAACCCTTTTAGAAAACAATTTTGGGATGTAGCTTTAAAAATGTTTATTAACGTTATTCTACAAACCTATCCTAAGGGTATCATCTGAAATTTGGAAAACATTTTTTTCATAAAGGTAGTAATCATAGTATTACTTATAATAGCAAAAAATTGGAAGTGAGGTTTAAGCTAAAGACAAATGGACTAAGCCTCTGTTAATATATCGGCACTTATTTGTCCGTATGTTTTTTCTCTGTATGTATATGCATATATTTTTGTTGTTGTCCTTTCAAAATGGGGCAATTCTAGTAAATTTTTTAGTTACCTATATATGGTCAACACCTTTCAAGGCCAATATACAGTTCTACCACATTATATTTAATAGCAGCATATATTCTGCATGATCATACTGACATATATTTAACCAAATTGCCCATTTTTGATATCTATAAACCAGTGTTTTTCAAACTGTAGTTCATAATTCTTAGTAGGTCGTGAAATAAATTTAGGGGATCATGACTAGCAGTCTTATTTACTACACTTTAAGTATTACACCTTTATAATATGTTTTGGTAAATAATGGATAGGACAAGTCCTTCCTTAACCACATTCTCCTGTTTTTCTAAATTATATTGGTTATTCTCATAAGTTTAGCCTAAAAAGTTGAGGTTTAAAATTATTTTGAATAGGTCCAAGGAAAATACTATGGAAAATTTCATATTAAATTTCTAAATTCATTTGGGAACTGATGCCTTTATAATAATGAAACTTCCATCCACAAATAAAGTGTGTCTCTTCATTGATATATTTTCTATTATGTCTCTGAATAAAGTTGTAGAGGATTCTTCATATAGGCCCTCATAGTTCTTAAGTTTATTCATTGGTGTTTAATATATAATTTTGCTATTGCAAAAATATTTCCATTATTTTTTTTCCAACTGAACACAGCCATCTGTAGGAAAGATAACAGTTTGTTTATACACTTATTTTGTAACTGAGCATACTGACTTCTAAAAATATTTTCCCACTCAAGTTGTGTAAATGGAATGAGAATGAGAGCTCTGAAATGTAACTGAAAATTTGCTCCTAACCC